TGGCACTGCCAGGAGTGTCACCAACCGTTTGAAACCAGAGCAGCAAAAATCCCACAGCTCTCATCTAATAAATGATAAATCACACACAGCCAGGCACACCACACATCACAGGGCACTCACAGAATAATTTATTTAAAAAAAAAATTAAATTTGTAAAATTAATTAAAAAACCAAATATAAAAAAACCCTTAAAAATTAAAAAAAAAAAAAGCAAAAAACCAAAAAAACTCAGAGACATTGGGGCACACTCAGGCACACCCAGATACCACATGCCCCTCATATAATAAGTTATTGAAAAAAAAATTAAAATAAATTAAAAAACAAACAAACAAAAAAAACCACCTCAGACACACTTAGGCACACTCAGATATCACATGCCCCTCCAAATAATAAGTTATTAAAAAAAATTAAAAAAAATAAAAAACAAAAATTTTAAAAAATTAAATAAAGAAATCTTAAAAAGCCAAAAAAACTCAGACATACTTGGGCACACTCAGGCACTCCCGGATATCACATGTCCCTCATATTGCAAGTTATTTAAAAAAAAAAATTTAAAAATTTTAAAAAACCCCAAAAAACTCAGACACACTCAGGTACACTCAGATATTACATGCCCCTCATATAATAAGTTATTTTAAAAAAAGTTTAAAAAAAATTAAAAAAAGGAATAAACTCAGACACACCCAAATATCACATGCCCCTAATATAATAAATTATTTTTTAAAAAATTAAAAATAAAAATTTTAAAAAAGCAATAAACTCAGACACACTCAGGCACACTCAGATATCACATGGCCCTCGAATAATAAGTTGTTTAAAAAAAATAAAAACCAAAAATTTTTAAAAATTCAATAAAAAAATTTTAAAAAGCCAAAAATCTGAGACATACTTGGGCACACTCAGGCACACCCGGATATCACATGTTCCTCATATTGAAAGTTATTAAAAAAAAACCAAAACCAAAACAAAACAAAAAACCCCAAACAAACAAACTCAGGCACACCCAGATATCACATGCCCCTCAAATAAAAAGTTATTAAAAAAAATAATTAAAAATTAAATTAAAAAAATTTAAAAATTTAAAATTTAAAAAGCCAAAAAACTCAGACATACTCGGGCACACCCAGATATCACATGCCCCTCAAATAATAAGTTATTAAAAAAAAATTTAAAAAATAAAAATTAAATTAAAAAAATTTTAAAAGCCGAAAAACTCAGACATACTCGGGCACACCCAGATATCACATGCCCATCATAAAAAAGTTATTAAAAAAAAAAGTTAAAAAAATAAAAATACATTAAAAAAAAAAAAATGAGACGTACTCAGCCACTCGGCACACTCACGTACACTCAGACACTCCCAGATATCACATGCACCTCACATTATAACTTATTGAACAAAAATTTTTAAAAAATTAAAACAAAAAAAATTTTAAAAATTTTTAAAAATAATAAAAACACTAGAAATTTAAAAAAAATAAAATTTAAAAAAACCAAAAAAACAAAAAAATAAACTCAGACCCACTGAGGCAACCACACGCACACTCAGGCACACCCAGATATCACATGTGCTTCATATAAAGTTATATTAAAAAAAATTAAAAACAAAATTTTTTAAAAATTCAAAAATTTTAAAAATTTATAAAAATGTAAAAAATAATTAAAAAAAAAAATTAGAAGCTCGACTATTCCTGCCTGCAGATCCATGAACATGAGCAATCGATCGGCAGTCGCGATCAAT